TTCAGGCCAGCCCTGTATATGTGAAAATGGAATAAGAGACATAGAACCAAGTCTCAAGCAAAACTTTGTTTTCTTTACAACATCAAGGTGAATTTATCAATGTGCACTGACCACCAACGAGAATGATCCACTGCCCAAACAATACTTGTTCTGTGGTGGTTCTGTGTGGGTCATGACCATTGAAGGGTAAAGGGCACTGTAATCATTTCCACAGGAATCTTTGGGACTATGGTGGGCGGACCTAACTTGAATCCTTTAGGGGTTTCCAGGGGCTTGGTCCAGGCCCTGCTGCAGAGGACAAGCTCATAGAAGCTGTGCCATCGGCATGGCAGAAATACTCTTTCAGGCCACAGCACAGCCAGTCAGGATGACATAGTTTCCGATGGCTTCAGCTCAGCCATCAGGTTCTTGAGCGGTACTGTTACTGACACAAGAGACAAAGACATAGAGAGAGACAAACAAAACATAATATATTATAGAAGAGGTTTCTCCAAAGGAGAAAGATCTGGGGCTGTATTACAGAAACATCTTAAGTCTGAAATCTTATCTGCTCAGTAATCATGACAACTTTAGTTAGGACTGAATTTAGGACAGAAGCTGTTACAGAACAGCAGTTTTAAGTTCATTATCTTATCCTAACTCCAGATAAGAAAACAGTATTACAGAAACATCCTAACCAGACAAAATATCCTAAATTCTGTCCTAACTTTAAGGCAACCGTCTGTTTCTGTCATTTTATGCAGGGACGGGCAGAATAGTTCACAATAACTAGCATAATGACGTTACATTTATCTACATCAAAAACGGTGCTTTGACTTTTTTTCTGACCGCCCCAGACACTGCAGACACAAACTCCACCGACCCCCATTATCACCTTCATGTGTTAATGTTGATGAAAACTCGTCAGATAAAATATTACAGCGATGTTGGTGAATAATGAGAAGACAGAGTTGAACATGTGTCTGTTTATTAGGAGGAATGACGTGAGCATTTAGGAAATGCTCTCATAAACGGTCACAAAATTCTTAACTTCAAGTATATTGCACTTTAGTTTTGTTGGACCTTTTTCAGTAATGGTAGCTAGCGTTAGCTGTCCGGCAAACTAACCTGATTATTTTAATCATGTGTTTACATTTCAGCTGTGTGTGTGTGCGTGCGTGTGTGCGTGTGGTCAGTTGCAAGGTAACAGACATGACAGCTGATTGTCAACTTTAATCGAGCAACTTAAGATATGAGATCAGATCCTGTAAGATAAAATTAATTTTAGATGTGCTTCTGTAATACAAATTTGTGAAAAATCTTATCTTGACCTGTCAAATCTTAGGGCAAAAAAAAACTACAGTCCCTGGCCCAGACCGCCCTGACATTATTCCTCCTAATAAACAGCAACAACGTTCAACTCTGTCTCCTCATTATTCACCAACATCACTGTAATATTTTATCTGACAAGTTTCCGTTAATATTAACACACAAAGTTAATAAGAGGGGATTGTGTAGATCGTGTCTGCAGTGTTTTTTTTTGTTTTTTTTTCCAAAATGATGTTAGAAAAAAAATCTCTGGGGTTGTCTTAAAGTTCTGACAGAATTTAGGAAATTTTGTCTAATTAGGATGTTTTTGTAATACAATACAATTTTTGTGTGGACTTAAGTTATATGACTTGAGACTCAACTTTGACTTCAACACCAGTGACACGGACTTTGACTCAGAAAAACTTGGAAAGATTTGAGACCCAAAGTGGAAGAAACGTAGTCACTTTCATGTAAATGGATTTGTTTTCTGCCATAAATCTGATATAAATGTACCGTCATCAGATGCCTGTCACTGTGCTCATGCTCAGCTTATTTTATTTCTGAAGACAAGTGACGCATTAGAGTTCAAGTTTGTCTCCATAGCATCAACAGCATCAATGTGCCCTCGCTCAGCACTTATACTCTTACTGGAAAAACTCACCAGGTGAACTGACCATTTTTTCTCATGGCAGCAAAACAAAAGAAGTACAGCTCTGTCTATTTGACCGATTGTAACAGCTTCTGCAGGTAAAACAAGTGCAACATTCACCACTAGGCTGAAGTTGACTTGTTATTCGCAAGCTTCGTTTTAGAATTTGTCGTTCCACCAGCATGTAACTGCTGCACCATTTAAGGTGGAATGGAATATTCGAATAAGAAGCTGCTGGCAGGAAAAATGTCAACTTCAGCTTCATACATTCACCGTCATTTTGCTGTCTTTTCTGTAAACTTTGTTCAGCTTTGTCATTTTGGTTTCTGTTGTCGTCTAAATTCGTCTTATCCTAAATATTAGGATAAGATTATGAACTTAAGAACTGTTGTTCTGTAATAGCTTCTGTCCTAAATTCAGTCCTAACTGAAGAACTGAAGTTGTCATGGTGATTGAACAGATAAGATCAGATTTCAGACTTAAGAAGTTTCTTTTATACAACCCCTGGTCCATAACTTTGCTTTACTGTAAACTGGACACAGCAAACAGAATACACAGACAAAAATGCTGCATAGACCAGCTCACCAGTGTTCCCAGATCTCACAAGAGGAAAAAAAAAGCCCAAAGCAGGTGACCTTACCTACCACAATGTGTAAGACAGAGGCTCCTTATTATAATAATATATACATTTTGTGTGTGTGTGTGTGTGTATATATATATATATATTATTATTATTTTATTTTATTTTTTTTTTGCATGAATTTATTTTTTTATTTTGCATTTCGCAAGTAACCATTTCAAAAATAATGTAACATTTTACATTTTTCTTTTTAACTTTTCTTTTTAAATAAAACTAGCCATGAATGAAAATGAAGGGAAAGACATGGCATATAATGAACAGGCCAAGTAATTATACCAGTAAAGGCAAAAAAGATATGATTAAAAAAATTACACATAGTCTGTCATAGGGCTAGTAGACTCAATTTATGTATGGGAGAAAATTAAGCTTCACTGATGAGAACGGTGCTGCATTTATTTTATGTTTATAAGTCCTGGCATGTTGTGCACATTTTTCACACTTACTGAATCTGCACAGTGCCTTGAATCGTCAACCATTTGAGGTCAAATCCAGTCTTTTAATTCACTCTCTTTCTCCTACTCTTTTTTGTATTTTTTTCCCCGTATTTTGCTCACTTAGTCCCTGGTATTGTTAACAAGTTAGCTAAAGGAACTTCATCATTGGTGGACCATCATTGGCACAATTTTGATTTGTTTTTAGTTGTGGGGGGTTAGGGTTAGGGAAAGAATGGGGCTGTGGAACGGGGATACGCAACAGGACAAACTTGCAGTTTCACTTTATTAGACAGGTACAGTGGAAAAAGACAGGATCAGGAAGCAAGCCCAAATAAGAAACTACACAAAGTTAGCAGCTAGGCTCACCTTTTTTACTGCTAGGCTCTGTGAAGCTGTGCTACCGCACACACATAGCCCTGCAATTCAAAATAAGAGTCCATGCCAAAGAACTGGGCATAAGGGGTTTCTATTGAACTAAATAACCTAAACTCAGCATTCTCGACTTTTTAGAACAGGATATAATAAATTCGTAATAAGCTTTTTTGAGCATATCATTAATATTTAAAGAAAACTTTCTGTCTGCATGTCTGACTGCAAAGAGAGCATAAGTAGTCCTGTAAAATTTAATTCAGTGTAGCACAGTGTGTGAAATGTTGAATAATAATTATTGTGTGCATAGTTTTTGTAGTGTTTTTAAATGTATCACTAGCTTGTCTTTTCCCACTTGTCTGATGTCAGAAAAAAATATTGTAGCTTGTTGTGTATTGTAAAAACATCTTAGAGTGTAGTGATCTTACGTTTTTTTCCATAGACCACTGTGGTCTTGTCACCATTTTATAGTCTGCGCCATACCCATACCCAAGGAACTCTGGATCTAAAATGAATTTCTCTATGAGAAGAATGAAAGGAGTGTTTGAAAATTGCCTCTGTCGCATCCTATGATAACCAAAAATGTTCCAGATCTGATACGTTTTGTCCTAAGAAACATTCTCCTCTTGAATATCACTGAATCCTTTAAATTACAAGGTCATTAAGGACTTGAAATATGAAAATTGCTATCTGTAAGCTTATGCTAAATACGCACTAATTTGACATCATTAGACTGGCATAGCTTGATTTAAAGCTACACAAACTTACCTATATTAAGGCTAATTCAGTACAGACTCAGCTTAATGTTACTGCTTTCCCCCTGTTAAGCTGATCAGAATCAGAATATCCGAACAAACAGCTGGCGTAACAGCTTCATGGAGAGTTGAAATTCATGATATGAGCAGGTTGCTCTATTTCTGCTTGACAGCTGAGTAACATTAACTTATTTTTACTGTTTTACAGAACCAACAGGTTGTTTTTTTTTGTCCCATTTGCTAATGTTTGCTGCTGCAATGCAACCATTTAAGGTGGAACAGGAAAACTCAAACAAGAAGCTGGTGAAAAAGCTAAATTCAGCCTTCTAGTTTTAACACTGATAGTATTTTTATTGATAAGCAGTTTTATGCTATTGAAATACCCTACCTAGATGTTTTATTTACAGGGGTGTGATAGAGGGAATTTTTTGAAAACCCCATTCAATTCTGGCCATAGAGAAATTGAGCTTAGACCCAAAGATCCTAATATGGCCATAACGTGGACCATGACTACAGTGGTCTATGTCACCCAGCTCTACTTGGGAAGTAGCACTTGTTACTGGTTTGTTTCATCATAGTAGCAATAAAGGGCAACTGAAGAGTACAGTATATTCCTTATTCATCTGATTTTTTTGTTCAGAATTGTTGTTGGTACAACCAAAATAATGACTTTTGATAAATTTTCAGTAATAATGACTTTTGATAAATTTTCAGCTTTGTTAGATCCTTTACATTTGGAAATAAATGCAACAGCAGCATTGAGATCATGTTATTAAAGAAAGCAATAAATTAAATGGTAGAACCTTTAAAGACTTCTCTTTCGCTCTCATTCTTTTTGAATGTATCTGTATGTGGGTGTGTAGGCGAAGCCAATGATCGGGATGTGCAGGTGATTGAGCTGCCCATTGTGGACAGCTTGCACCCTCGTCCCCCCTACCTGCCACTGGCCATCCCAGAGGACCTGGCTGAGCGCCTCCAGCGGCTGCACGGGGACCCCTCCGTCTGGTGGGTGTCCCAGTTCGTCAAATACCTAATCCGGCCTCAGGCCTGGCTGGAGAAAGAGATGCGCGAGGCCACCGCCAAGCTGGGCTTCAAACACCCCATTATAGGGTAAGAGAGAGAAAAAACACAACCCAGAAAATGAACCAGGGGAGTTGATTGACTTACAAACTGAAAACAACATTAATCAACATTAATTCCCTTTTCTTTTGTTGAGGCAAAAGTCCATGTAAGTTGGCTCTACTATGTTTGGTTGAATGGAAATGTGTGGCATATTTAATTTAAACATTCAAAAAATACATATTATTAATTTTTGATTAGTTTTTTCTTTTGTGCGTGAGGGGGCTAATTCAATTTTTAAGGTGTTACTCTGTGATTTTTTTTCTGTGATTTTTTTATTTTATAAGAACAGAACCTAATAAACTTCAGTTTCTGTGCTGATAAATGGTGAATGCACTAAGAAAATCCACTGTAGTTCTATGTCAGTACATCATTCCTCAGTATTATTTTAACTTGATACTTTTTTTATATGAATATATATATATATGCAGAAATTTTTATACACTTTAGTAGATGTTGATGTCACTGCTGTGCTGAGAATGGTCCACTATCCAAATAATATCTAGTTTGCAGTGGTCCTGTGGTGGCCTTTTTCCATTGATGGACAGGGTACAGTGTGGCTGATAAACTGCACAGCAGTAGGAGAGCTGTAGTCAATAAATTTGTACCTAAGGTATAACTTGACTATTACCTTGAAGAATGTAGCTCATCATTAATTAATTGGAAATGCATGTGGCTTACTCTACACTGTATTTAAGATATAAAATGGGCATAGGAATATCGCTCTGCTATGTGAGAAAATATGGATTGCGGTGAGATTCGCAAATTCTGGAAACACATTATCTTCATTATCTGACCTACTTGAAATTCTTACTGACATGTATCTTTGTCTGTTTATATTCAATTATAATTGCTCTTTGCCTTTATAGTAGCTCAAAAATATTTAATTTTTTTTTCTTCTAACTACTGCTGAAAAGGCTAATGTACAAAGCTGTTTCTATCTAAATGTGTAAATATCGCGACAGTGGCTATTATTCTATTATGATATTGCTTCTACTTAGCAGACCTGTAAAATCTACAGACATGGCAGTTTGTTACTGGATTAAAATCACAGATCACATCAGTAACAACTCAGATTACAGGTCCTCCCCAGGTAAAATAAATCCAGCATGAATAGGGCTTTAGTTTTCATATATGGACTCCATGGACTGGGGCGTGAACAATGCATTTTGAAATTTGTGACAATGTTTATAAACTACGTCAAACACCTTTATTTCAGAAAAATAAAAAGTCCTTTAAAACAGTTAAATGAGAGAAAAACAAGATATAAAATGCATAATATATTCATTTACCTTTATTTAACCAGGAAAAAAATTATTGCAATTTAAAATCTCTTTTACAGGAGAGTCCTGGCCAAGACGGGCAACAACACATAACAAATTGTTCCCATAAGACATATAATACATTACCAACATAAAACAGAAAATTCAATAATCAACAAGAATATAAACAAAATATATTTAATTAAAACAAGACATCAGTCTTTTTTGGGATGCACCTGGTTACACCCTTTTGCACTACAGTGTGTGTGTGTGTGTGTGTGTCTGTGTCTGTGTCTGTGTGTGTGTGTGTCTGTGTCTGTGTCTGTGTGTGTGTGTCTACACGTGAAGAGAGAGTGAGAGATTCCCACCCATACACTGTCACCACTTAACACACACTCATTCACACTCCATCAGTCCTGTTTGTACAAGCTCCAACTGAGTCTTCTGCTTTCTGCAGGGTGCATGTGCGTAGAACAGATAAGGTGGGCACAGAGGCAGCATTTCACCCCATAGAGGAGTACATGTTGCATGTGGAGGACCAGTTCCAGAGCCTGGCCCAGCGCATGCATTTGGACAAGAAGCGTGTTTACCTGGCCACCGACGACCCCTCACTACTGCAGGAAGCCAAGTCCAAGTGAGTGAGAGTGTGTGTATATCAAAAATAGAAGAGAATATGATGATTATCGGGGCATCTTCGCACATCAGACACATGGTATACAGTAATGTGCGAAAGTCAGAGATCATTCTTTATTTATTTAATTTCCAATACAGGTTATTCATTTTTCAAGAGATAATCCACTTGCATAATGAATGAGAAAGTCCAACAAAAACAGATTCCAAAACTCAAAATTCTGAAAAGATACAGATAATATGGCACACTATGGGTCTGAAAAAGAAAATTTGCCTATCAAACAAAGAAATGGCTGCTGTTCTCAGAACATTGGACTGGCCACCCCAGAGTCCTTACTTCAACATCGTTGAATGTGTTTGAGATTTCTTTAATTGTGATTAGCAGAAAATGCAACCAACTTAAAGCTTCATTAATGCTCAATATTAAATACAGACATGGATATGGATGGAGCCTTCTGTCCTGCATTTATTTTGTCTGTATTTGTGCACGTTCTCCAAAGACTTACTGATATGGACGAAACAGAGTTGTACCATTGGAAACTGTGGAGGCAGTGTATCCAGTAGGTTATGAAAAGAATGGAAGCTGGAAGCTGCATTGAAGGCAAAGAGCGGGCATACTAAGTACTGAAAGAATATTATATAAGTTGTTGAAGCTTCTGTGTAGTTTTCTGTTAAATATACATTTTCTACTTTTTTACTGACAGTGAATAACTTGTATTTAATGGCGTGTGTATGTATTTGTGTGTGTGTGTGTGTGTGTGTGTGTGTGTGTGTGTGTGTGTGTGTGTGTCAGGTACCCAGATTATGAGTTTATCAGCGACAATTCCATCTCATGGTCAGCCGGCCTACACAACCGCTACACTGAGAATTCATTAAGAGGAGTCATCTTAGACATCCATTTCCTGTCCCAGACCAACTTCCTGGTCTGCACCTTCTCCTCCCAGGTGCTCTCACATGCTTTACTTTCCTATCTGCTGCTGCTGTATTTTATCAGCAGTCTTCTTTCTCCCAGTAAAGCTACCAGAACACTACAAGATCAGGGGTTTGTTTGAGCAAAGTGAGGTGGCATTTCACAAAGTCTATTTTGTATACATTTATTACAGAGAAACAGCAAGTCACAACATGAAAGGATTAATTGCCTTAAAAATAAAAGGACCCCCATAAGCCAAGAGTCTTATGGAAATACAGATAAATCCTGCAGGTGTTGATGTTAAATAGCTTATTCTGAAATACATATACACTATAAAACAGCTATAATTTGTGACTGCAGAAAATTATTTTCAGTAATTTCAATGCAGCCTCAGCCCCCAGTTTTGGTTGGACTGTTCCATGGTGTTACATGATGACACAACTGCATAAAGACGGACTGATCTAAACAAGGCAATTAAATGAAAATCTACATTATGGAGAGGAGGTTTTTGAGTGTTGAGGGGGAAAATTAAATGAAGTTATCCAAGGGCAGCAGAGAAATGCAATAAAGTGAGGAAAGCAAAAAGTTTGTCGCATCACTTCCAGAGCTAACCTCATTTTTTCATTCAGGACAGCGCTGTACAAGCTCAACGGATCAAACATAATGCTAGTGTTAATGTTAGTGTACATAGGTACAGCTAATTATTGCTACTTGGAAAAGGTCTCTCTACTCGTTACTTAATTTACACTGTACCTAAATATCTCATTATATTGGCAGATGTAGCATTTTTCTTAAAACAAGCAAAATTATCTGCCAATAAAGTAAGATAATTTTACATAATAAAATTAAAATTAATAAAACTATGTCTAGAAGTAGTTCAATAATCTTGTAATATTGTTTCAACTGTCTCAGATCGAGAAATATTAGATCTGTTGACTAGTGCCACTCGGGATCCCAAAGGTCTCTACTAATTTATAAATGTATATCCAGGAGGCCCCATTCCTATCTTTTCCCTAGGGGTCCAGAGTCATTAAATGCACCAGTGCATGTAGCCACTGAATAAGAAGAGAATGTAGACATACAAAAATGTATCATTATTGTGATATTGGCTGTTGTCTTACAAATGTTCCCTCTAATCAGTCACACTGTTTTTTACTGTGCGCTCTGCACATCTTGACCAATCACAGTTCCACTTCTAGTGTTTTATGTGTTTTGATGAATCAAGGTATTCGCTGGTCTTAATAACTGTTTTGAACAGACAAAATAAAAATAAATATTGGAACTGTTTAAAACTCCAAATAAGTCGGGGATATCTTAATTGTGTAAATTGTATGACCTGGTCATTATATCAGATGAACAGCACACCAGTCACATAGAGTTTGCAATAGTGTTTTGAACCATAATATCAGCAGGACGGGCACATCATCTCTTCAGTCACAGATTTACTGTGGATGCAGCAGCTACAAGCCAGAAACAAATGTCAGCATCAAAGTGCTTTCTGACGCCAGTTAAGTCAATACTAGCTACAGCAGAAGCTTGGCTTTCAGATTAGTAAATATAGTTTATTCAGTATTCTCCTGATCAACTTAGGCACTTCATGTAACAAAGATTCTGTAAAACTGATAATCCATTGCTGTTAGTGCGTGCAAGCTTCGATTTCATACCAGTGCAGACCTCTAAAACTGGGCCTATATATAGAGTTTAAAGGGAAAAGCCCATTAATTCCTGCTTCTCTCCCATATGGACAGGTTTGTCGCGTGGCTTATGAGATCATGCAGACATTGCATCCAGATGCCTCGTCCTACTTCCACTCGTTAGACGACATCTACTATTTCGGTGGGCAGAACGCACACAACCAGATTGCCATCTACCCCCATCAGCCTCGCGGCAATGAGGAGATCCCGCTGGAGCCTGAAGATGTGATTGGTGTAGCTGGCAATCACTGGGACGGCTACTCCAAGGGCATCAACCGCAAGAGTGGCCGCACCGGCCTCTACCCCTCATACAAAGTGAAGGAGAAGATTGAGACAGTGAAGTACCCCACTTACCCTGAAGCTGACAAACTTCTCCAAAAGCAGTAGAAAGAGAGTGAGATGGAGAGAAACTATGTGGAATATGTTCAGTACAGGATACTGTAGTTAACCCTGGACCTCCTGGATGGAAATGCACTGTGTGTATGTGTGTGTGAATGTGTATGTATTGGGGGAAGGCGTTATTTTACAGGGTCTGGGACTAGTTTCTAATCCCGCCACCCATTAAAGAGGCCAATCAGGGTTGTAGAAAGGAAACTAGAATAAACTCTTTAAAAAAAAAACACCAGGATCAACAAACACGCCACTTCAGGTACTTCTATCCCGAAACCTCCAGCTAAAATGAAGGGAACTACATTTGTTTATTTAAGATTAAACTTCAAAAAAAAAAGAAAAAGAAGAGACAGACTGCTTAAAAGAACAAGCAGAATTTTGAACATATACCTTCGGCTCAAGCTTTGTTTTTCTTTCCTGTGCTGTTTTTCTTCCGTCTGAGCACTGACAGCATCCTTTCACTGCAGCCCCACCACTCCTCTCCTCCTTCGCCACCTTCGCCTTTTTTTTCTACTCCGTTCATGCCCTCCAACAACTCGCGCCATCTTACATTCCTCTAAACATGTGCTTTTATTTTCTTCTGCCATCCAGTGCTTTTAAAAAGTTTTTGATAATTTTAGTTGTTTTATCACATTCACGTATTTTTGCCTGCATGTGCGTATGCATGTGTGGAGCATGGATGCGAATCAGGTGCCTCAGAAGAACGGCTGACGTCTGGTGGAACACAAAGGTTAGTGGTGAGCGTTCCGACTGCAGAGCCTTATGGAGAGATCTGCCCCCTTCTGCCCCCTTTCCTTATCACTGTCTAATTCACCACATTTCTCCATTGTTTTTTTAAAAGATGCTTTAAAGTTATTAAGTTCAAAACTAAAATGAAAAAAAGAAAAAGATACAGGAAATGACACTTAAAATTCAAGATTGTGATACTAATATTAATAATGATGATTATGATGTTGATGAGTGGATGATTAATGGCAGTGATGGAATGATGTTGTTGTAAGGTTTCATCTACCATGAGGAAAAATTTAATATTTTATGTTTGCGAGGGCATTTTTGATAAGCCGATCAAATAAACTTGATCAGCCAACACAGGTCTCTGTGTCTGTAGTAATATTTGTGTGTGTGTGTGTGTGTGTGTGGATGCGTGTGTGTGTGTGTGTGTGTGTGTGTGTGTGTGTGTGTATATATGTGTGTGTGTGTGTGTGTTTGTAGTAGATGTCTTTCGCATAGTACTGACAAAAGTCAGAGACCACCCTTTGGTCTATTTAATGTAAGGTGCATTCAGACTTGGCAGGCTTGGTTCGTTTAGGACCCTGGTGCAGTTTTTCTGGTTGTAAGGTTTATTAGACAAAGTAAGAACGCTGTCATTCGAACTCCGGTGCGCACTAAATAAACGGACAGAGACCCCCTGAGCAGGTCGATCACTTGGTTCACTTGAAAACAAACTCTGATGTGTGGTTCATTTGAAGTATAAATGCAGTACAGACCAAATACATCTAAATGGACCAAAAATGGAATGAATCTCCTCACTGCACAACTTGTTTGGTATGTGGAAAAGATGGAAAAGACGAGTTTCTTGCTGTTTTGACGTATGTGTGCTTTATATGTTTTGATGTATATGTCTCTTCAGAAGATCTGAATCTGTAATTATAGAAGAAATAATTTGGGTTTTAAAATGAGGCTGAGGCATATTTGAAGTATTCAGTATACACATTTGACTGTACACATAAATTATATTATGTATTAGGGTGCCACAGTTTCTCCATTTTGTTTTGTCCATTTTGTATCCACTTGCATAAGGAAGAGGAAAGTCAAAGGAAAATAAGTGTAAAAACAGTATCCAAACTGGGTTTCAAAAATTGATTAAAAATATAAATAGAGAAAAAGGACTTCTAACAACTATAAAAGACCTGGTCGATCCCCAAAATTATCAGATAAAAATCAGATAAACATTACTTAAATTTTTCATCATTAGAGGACAAAATCAAACTCCACTATTACTTCAGATCTGAAAAAAATCCACAGGTGCTTCCGTCCATTCTTTCACTGAGAAGAAAACTCAGTACTGGATTTGAAAGGATGTGTAGCCTTCAGGAAGCTGTTACTGAGAAAATGAAATAAAATAAAAAATTGGCACAATTTTTGCACAGAGTTCAGACCTCAACATTACTGAATGTCTTTAGGATTAATTGGAAAACTGAGCCTTAAGGGTGTAGAAAAAGAACCCTGAAGATTTCTTTTAAAAACTGAAGCAAGTCTCCTGTAAAAAAAAAAAAATTTAAAAAAAAATGAAGCTGTTATAAACTGTCATTAAGTCCTCTGAATTATGAGGTCTTGAGAACTTGGAAATACAAATACTGCTACATGCAAGCAAACATACTTGCACTTTTAACTGGTGTTACTAAGCACCAAGAATATAAGGCCATTATTGTATTTACACATTACATCAAAACATTAACAAAACAAAACCAGCTACTGCTAAACCTCATAAACGGCTCACAATTGCAGTGTGTGGTTTTGTTTAAGTGTGCAGTATCGTGATATCAAGTCAAGTCTAATGAAATTGCTTAGAAATTACTTGGTTTATTTATACAGCGCTTTTTACAACAGGTTGTAAAAAGTAGCTTTACAGAAAAATCTGGCTCCAAGCCCCCATGAGCAAGCCACTGGCGACAATGGCAAGAAGAAACTCCCAAGCTATTACAGCCTAACTAATAGGACCATCAGACCTTAATCTGTATGTGCCTTATGTCACTTTATTGTCAAATTCAGGGACCTTCTTATATTATTTTTTTATTATTATATTTTTCTACAATTAGTGTTTATTTTTATGATTAGTGTTTATTGTTTATTTAGTGTCTATTTAATTCACACATTTCCTGTTTACTGTCTGTTTAATGTTATTGCTACACCATGGGGTCTTAGTAACGCAATTTCAATAGTCTGTATGTCCTGTACATATTGTAGTATTGACAATAAAGCTGACTTGACTTGAAAGGGAGAGCCAGAAGGTGACAGAAACACGAGGGCTCTCTGAGATGTCAGCGCTCCTCTGCTCCACCGTCAGCAAACCTGAGTGAACACGTGAGAGCAGTGAGATAACAGCACCAATACTCCCAGTAACTTTAGTAGTTCTAGGTGATCTAAGTAGGCACGATAATTCATAATAAGAGAAGTTCACTGAGGGGTGAGGCCATTTAGAGCTTTATGTGTCAGTAAAAGAATTTTGTTACTTAATGCGGAATTTAACTGGCAACCAGTGTAGGGACTTCAGGACTAACTGAAGCTTGTTACGGCTTTTTCTGGAATGTCCAGACAGCAGGGCATTACAGTAATCAAGCCTTGAGGTAATAAATGCATGAACCAACTTTTCTGCGTCCTGTAGAGACATTTAAATGTAGAAATGTAGTGCATTTCTTAATTTGGCAATATTACAAAGATGGAGGAAAGCTATTGTAGTAGTATTGGTTATATGTGATACGAGATCGATCATAACACCAAGGTTTTTTTTTTACAAATATACCTGATGCAACTGAGAAACAATTACGGTTATATAAGTTAAATTAGACTGTTTGATTCTAGCGCTTCCCACAAGAGGTGGATGCCTTCCCGACTCAAAAGACCCGGCTTTCTCTCAAAAGTAGACCAGTTATCTACAAAGCCCACATTGTTTTCTGAGCATTGTGTTGAGAACAAAATGGTTAAACCAAGTGGTATTTATTTTATTTATACAGACCATCTGAAAACCTTTCAAAAGTGGCTGATGTATTTTAGATCATTACCATGTGAGCAATTTCTTTGCAAACCTTTTCAGGTTTGCGTCCACAGAGGCTGGTCACAGATGATGCTGATTGCCCTGATTGCTGGGGGGGAGCTTTCTGCCTCTCTCTGGTGGCTGCACCCAGTCAAAAAATCAAATCAAATCAAATCAGATTTATTGTCACATCACAAGAGTACAGGGACACAGGTGAGTGAAAAACTTGAGTGCGAGTTCCACAAATTATGCAGAGAACAATATTTACAACATAGATAAACAAAACTATAGATAGGATAGAAGAATAGATAAAACCAATTTAACTAAAATATATACATATAATCTTACACAATAACTTAAAAATAATAATATTGCACCGAGACATATAATATTGCACTGGGAATGTAGGGTGGGTGTAATCAACTATATACTATATATAGTAATGGATATTACAATGCTATGTAGATGTGCAAATAATCACACTAGGTGTGGAGGTAGAAGATGGTACAGTAGGTGGCAGAGTATTTAGTAAAGTGCAAGGTACAGGAAGTTAAGTGGAAGCGCAGGGGGAGAGTATTGTCTTTGGATAGGTATTCAAAGTCCAACTATGCAAGTAAAGTGCGGGAGTACAGTGGGTGCACGTACGTGTAATGGGAGGGGTTGGGCTGGGCAGAGCAGTGATTACTGGCTGTTCAATAGCCTGGTTGCATGGGGGAAGAAGCTGTCTTTGAGCCGACTGGTTCTGGCTTTTAAGCTTCTGAGCCTCCTACCACTCGGCAGCTGAGAGAACAGACAGTGGCTAGGATGGGAGGGGTCCTTCATAATCGTTCTGGATTTCCTCAGGCAGCGGCTGGTGTATAAATCCAATAGGTTAGGGAGCTGAACCCCGGTGATGGACTGTGCTGTCCGCACCACCCTCTGCAGAGATTTCCTCTCACGAACAGTACAGTTCCCGTACCAGGTGGTGATGCTGCCCGTCAGGATGCTTTCCACAGTGCAGGTGTAGAAGGTCTTAAGGATGCTGGGGTTCAGGCCAAACCTCCTCAGCCTTCTGAGGAAGTAGAGGCGCTGGTGGGCCTTCTTCACCACCTGTGAGGTGTGCACTGCCCCACTTGCAGACAGCTCAGTCCCAGGTAGGGCTTCCTCTGAGGAACAGCTACTGACGTTTCCAAACCAGCTGATCATTGCAGTCATTCTTCAGTGTTACTCAAAGAGGAGAAACATGCCTGCACCCACAAAGTCTGACATCTTTTAGTAAAATTGAAGTTCTCCAGAGTTAGACTGAATTTAGTGGCTTCAGCTACAAGACATAGCAGTTTTGTGGTATTTTCTCCCACATTTTTTCTCTGATTAAACAATTTTGAAATTTGAAAATGGCCTTTTAACCCCAGTATGGGTCCAGGACGGGGCCAGCCTACCTAGGTCGGAAGATTCTGGGTAGGTTGAAATACGTTGGACAAGAAGAACCACCAAATAGAAGCACGCTGGGTGCACAACTCATCCAAAGCAACTGGATTCACGCTACATACATGTATTCTTTCATTGCACTGCAAAATAAGAGCGAATTTAATCTTTATTCATGAGAAGTCATTTAAAAAAGTTTTTCAAGCTTGGAATGAAGAAGGTTTCTAGAAAGATATATACAATAAGCTATGTACAAGCACACAGTGAAATGAAACAGCATTCCTCCTTGACCATGGTACAATGCAGGAACACAAATGCAAAACAACACAATATACACAGTGCAAACAATACAGTGCAATAAAGACTTACAATAAATGGATGTAACATACTATGACATATTAGCAGATAGCCTAGCAAATATGAACTTAGCAGTCACTGAGGTAGCAACCAGAGCAACAGTAATAGAATACAGTATTTGGTTGACCAGATATATGATAGGGATATATGAAATTCAGATATATGAATTCAAGAAAAGTATTTTTGTGTGAAATGCAATAATTATATTTAATTACAGTATCTCAGATTTAATCTGGAATTGCAAGAAGTGGGGAACGAGATGGTGTCATTTGTTATGTATATGTGTCTATGTGGGTGTCCGTCACTTCAGTTTCTGGGAGTTGAGGAATCTGGTGACTTGTGGAAAGAAACTGTTGCATGGTCTGGCTGTGAGGGGGGCACCTACAATGCTGGTGGCTTTTTGGATGCAGTGTGTGGTGTAAACATCTATAATGGAGAGAAGACAGACCCTGATGATCTTTTCAGCTGTCCTCACAATTCGGGTCTTGAGGTCAGAGGCGGTGCAATTTCCAAGCGAGGCAGTAATACAGCTATTCACAATGCTGTCTATAGTGCCTCTGTAAAGGTGGTAAAGAT